TGTTGATGGCACTGAATGCCTACTATATGTCCAGTGCTTGGACACAAAGCACTCTGTCTCTGTAACTGTTGACCTGTTGTTACTCACTGAGAACATCTCTCTAGGGCTTGCAGGAAGCAGCAGGTAGACAAGAGAGGAAGAGAGATGTTCATCAATGGAAACCGGAGAAAGCAAGTTTTCTAACATATCAGGTTGGAAGCTCTTTGCACGGATGCAAAGAGCTTCCCTATAACCAAAATTCCTCCTGGTTAGTAAGCACAACTAGTAACCAGCAAAAAGAAAGTTCTCTTGCCAACATTGTTCCATTTTACCTGCTGAAAGTGAAGGGATAGAATAGGAAAACAAACTAGAATAAAATTAAGTACTCTAATAGGTATACCTACTCACTCCCTGCTTCCCAGCCTGTCTCTAATTGTAACTAACAAAGTGGCATCTGCTTTAAAAAGAACTAACCGATAAAGGGTCTGATAATTTCTGACTTAAATGACAAAATCATGCTTCTTGACTCACAAAGTTAAGGGGACCAGACTATGACCAATTCGTGAAATCATTGCTTAAGCAACTTCCTTTGGCAACAGATTCTTTCTGTGACGGCCACTTTCTTCCTCCCTGCCTTCTTAACTTCAATATTCTGTAGTGAAAATGCTTTCAACACTCAAAAAAAAAAAAATATCCATACCACTAAATTTTATCCCCAAATAGCTTCATTCCAGTCAGCTTCCTTAATATGACCTCAATTTGTCATTCTCTTCCTCCTCTTTTCTGTCTCTCTTTCTCATGTGTAACCCTGCACTAGCCTTTTTTCTGACTCTTACACAAGCCATCTGTTAAGATCTTATACTCAGAACCATGACACTCTATACTACCGTTTTTCTTTTCTCCTAGTAGAGCACTAGGCCCGAAGTCAGACGACTTTGAGATCTTACAGAACTACCTGTAGCTTTCCTACCTCACTCACTGAACAAAGAAATGCAATCAGACAAAATGGAGAAAGATTGCTTTTAAATTTTAAATGTTCTGGGACAAGTTCATTTCCCATAAATTCCTGAGCTACTCCAACACACTCTCTTATTTGCTAACTCCTAAGGGAGAAATAAAACAGTATGCAATTAATTAAAGTAATAGGCAGTACAGTCCAGTGGTTCCTAAACCACAGTGTGTGATAGAGCTTTCCATGATTAAATGTGAAAAATAAAGAATACATTGGTACATATAAAGATATGCACACATATACATGTAAGTTGCCAACCGCTCTTTATTCGAGATTCTGAGCATGCTAATTTCTCAGTATAAACTGGGGTTTCTTTTATGAAATGATAGTGATGAAAAATGATGTTGGCAGCAAAGTAACTAATCTGAGAACCCTATATCAGTTCTCTAACTTTTATTATCAATACCATTATGTTTATACCATTATGTTTACCAGTTTATTGGAGTTGACTTTCTCTACCTGTGCTCTGCTTAGATCTCCTGGTAAGTCTGGTGCCCATGTCCCAGTTGTGCGGGCTTGCTCCTAAGGGCTCCCACCTGCAGCCTTCTACAGAGAACTACATAGGCTCCCAGAGCCTCCTCTTCATCCTGAGAGTGGCATGCGCCTGGAAGACTTCCATCTCTCCTTCCTACTCCCCCAGCCCACAGCCCAAGACAGACAGGTAGGAACATCAGAGCCCAGCTCCCGGGCAACTGTGCCTCCAGGCTGACTGGGATTTCACAGGACTTTGCATCCTTGCCTGATTTCTTCCCTTCCCTACAGTGCTTTCCCCACTCCCTTATCTTCCCCACTCCTTACCAGTTTCTTCAGGAGCACTTCCTTAACAAACCTTTGGTAGAGGAACAGTCCTCTCGAGGTCTGCTTCTGAGAAATCTAAGAGCTCTATGAAATCCCAAAGCTTGTGGCCCTTCAACAGCTTGTTCTCTCCACTCCGGGGCTTTTCTCACTTCTTAGAACACCAAGATCTCACCTCATGGTTTCACCTTTGCACGTAGTACTCTCTCTCCACCATTCCTACCCAAACTAAAGCTTCACTCAAACCTCAGGTCCCAGTTAAGTCACTTCCTCTGGGAGGACTTCTCGGAGCCCCACAGGTTAGGTGTTCCCCTCTGCCAGCACATGCAACCTGCAATCTCACGGCCCTCTTCCAGGCTTGCCTGTAAAACTCAAAGAACAAGACCCACATCTGTCTGGCTCTGTTTTGTTCCTGGCAGTGAGTGAGCAGAGAAGGTGTTCAATCAATGTTTCTGACTGTCTAAAGAAATTCACCAAAACGTTAACAGTTACTGAATCTGGGCAGAAGAACTGTGGGGTTTTTTTATATATATTTTCTTTTTTGGTATTTCCTAACAAGTTTTTTTAAACACTGAAACTGATTTCATAATCAGTAAAATTTAAAAGGCCCTTTTTTATTCTGCAATAATATATATTGGTTAGCTTCTTTTTCTCTTAAAAGTTAATGGTATTTTCTGTGGAATAAGGCTAAAAATCAGTTAGGCAAAGTAGAGATACATCTATAAATAAAGCTGTCACTTTGATCACAATCACGCACTACAGCTCTCAGCTAGGAACCCAAGAGCATGATTCATACTCAAAATCAGTTATGCAGACATTAAGTTTTAGATCAGAGGAAAGACATTACATGTTGCATAGATTTTATCCCCATATTGGTTCATCTTTTTAGAAAAAAAACTAGATAGCTTTGTAGGAAAGAGGCAAAAAATGACAGAGTCCAACGAAACAATTCTCACATAAGAAAGGATCCTACTCAAAGTACTTTTTTTTCCTCTCAGGAAAAAAAGCCTGTATATTAAAGGATGCTGGTTTCCTGTTTTTTAAAAAAACTGACCCATTAACAATATTGTTCACAATGAATTATCAAAATTGTTCTGATAAGAACACATAAAGATTATACCAGCAGTCTCCAGCTTGAGTTGAGCTGTACTCTGCATTTGCTTCCTGGTAGACTGGTAGGTGCTCCCTGGGAGTTGAGGGGACAGGGACTTCAAGGAAGCAGTGTGTTAGATGCAATGTGCAATGTGATCTGCGCCCTCACTCCTCCTCCACAGGCAGCTGGGCTCCTACAGTTTAACAGGTGTCACAGACTGCCCTTGGGCTAGAATACGCTCATAAGGGCAGAGATTTTTGTCTATTTTGTTCATTGTTCACTAATGTATCCTCAATACCCAGAACAATGCTTTAGCACATAGTAGACACTCAAATACTTAATGAATGAATCAAGCAATATAAAGGTTAAAAACTGATAAGATCAATAAGTACTCGAAAAATGGACAAATAACATGACAGACAGTTCAAGGAGAAGGAAATATAAATGGCTCTGAAACATGAGAAGATATTCAACCTCAGAGATGATAAAAGCATTTCAAATGAAAGTTAACATGAGATAACATTTTTCCCCTAACAAATTGACAAAAATGCTAAAATTTATTAAAACACTCTGTAGGTGAGGCTTCGGGAAAACATGCATGCATATACATTGCTGGTGGGAACAGAAATAGGAGAGCCTCTTGGGAGGGAAGTTTGGCACTACGTATTAAAATTACAAATATATAGACCCTTGGCCCAGCAATCTTTCTGGCAACTTATCCCACAGATATACTTGCACACATGCGAAGTGACTCATGGCAAGGTTATTCACTGCATTAATATTAATAATAGCAAAAGTATCGAAACAACTAAGAACCCATCAATAGGGGAGTTGTTAATAAGTTGGGGTACACATACACTGCATTACTTGCAACTGTAGAAAAGAATAATGAAGCTCTCTTTGCACTTACATGAAAAGATACAATATACACCAGTAAGTGAAACAAGTGAGGTACAAAACAATGCAAATAGTGTGCTTATTTTTGTGTATAAAGAAAAATAAAATAAATACATTTGTATTTGCTTATATTTGCATAAAGAAACTCTGGAACAATGCCAAGAAGTGGATAAAAGTGGTTTCTTTGAGGGAGGGGTGGATCCTAGGCACATGGGGAACAGGGTACATGCAAGACTGCATTATGTAATTTTTAGATTTTTGAACCATGTGAATATATTACCTAGTCAAATAATTATATTTTAAAAAATCAGGAGGCTGAACTACAGAAACGAGAAAGAGAGAGAGAGAGAGAGCGCCTTTAGGGAGAATGCATGAATACTTAAGGCAACATGTATTTATTTTAATTAATTAATTTATTTATTTTTGGCTGCACTGGGTCTCCATTGCTGCACGCGGGCTTTCTCTAGTTACGGCGAGCAGGGGCTACTCTTCCTTGCGGTGCGCGGGCTTCTCATTGCAGTGGCTTCTCTTGTTGCGGAGCACAGGCTCTCGGCACACGGGCTCAGTAACTGTAGCACGTGGGCTTCAACAGGTGTGGCTTGTGGGCTCTAGAGCGCAGGCTCAGTAGTTGTGGCGCACAGGCTTAGTTGCTCCGTGGCATGTGAGATCTTCCTGGACCAGGGCTTGAACCCATGTCCCCTGCATTGGCAGGCAGATTCTTAACCACTGCGCCACCAGGGAAGTCCCCAGCATGTATTTTTAAATGAATACACTTGTTACGAAAACATCCACCTAAGATTAAAGCTAATCCCCTACGGACTTCCTCTAAAGTGTCACTCTGTAGGTCGACTTTGAGTTACTCAAAGTATTTAAAAGCAGTAATACGATGTCTGTTTGAAAATCTGTTAGAAATCATATTTCCAACTAACTTCTCAGATTGGTCCATGTCCCAATTAGTTCAAATCGTGCTTTTCATTTATAGTAAATTCACACACAAATCTCACAATCCATGATTATTATGGTGTGAGGTTTTATAGGTATAAAGAATGCATTACATTTCATATGTCTGATCTTTCTTTCCCTATCAGAAAACTAAGGAAAATTTTAAAAATCGAATTTGTTTAAATGACTTAAGAGAATGCTTCCAGTGAAAAAAGACCTCCAGTATTAAAACTACCACAACCTTTCAGCCATAGAACATGGTCATTAAAAAATGAGTCTTACCTGACTTCAGCTGGTGGACTTGGGGAATAGGGATTTGCAGAACAAGCTAGAATTCTAATGACTGCTCCAGGATGATAGGTTTCTAGAACGTGAACGGCTGTAGGATACACCTGTTGTTCAAAAGCAAGTTCCACATAGTCTTGGCTCTGGAAATTAGGCGGCGTCCTCTTAAATGGCACAGGAGCGCTGGGACACTGATCCCACCATGTTCCGTAAGTTCGAAACACAGCTGTCTGAGTGAAGTCACCAGAACTCGGGAATACATTTGGTACACCTGCTAAGTTCCACATGGTATAGGACATGCTATTCTCACTCCCATAATGGGAGCTGAAATCCACTACTTCTTTGGCATACTGGACCACCTCTGCATTGAGAGGGGAAGTCCGGCTGTTTGCTTCTATAGTTCTATGGCTGTTCATCATTTCTCCTCTTGTAGCTGTCCTGGCTCGGCGCCGAAGGCACATATAATAAAACATAGTCAGAACTGTTAACATGGGAAAGACTGGTGGCATCTAGGTGTGAATTATGAAGCTTCAAACGGTCAGGTGTCCTCGGTAAGACGCGCGAACTCTTTGAAGGATGTTCTAAAAAAATGAATGGCTTGTTGAAGTAAAATAATTTAAATAAACAGAAAAATGCATGGATAAGGTAATAAACGGCTTTTTACCCAATGTAATTTCCCAGAATGAAACTGAAAAAAACAACATTCACGTAAATGAGACTCTCTGGTATAATTTATCTAATGTACTTTTAAGAAAACTGAATACTGAAAATGTATACAATTTTATGCTATATGGGAAGCAAAACTGATATTATAAGGCAATGGCAGATGTATGACCCAAAAAAGACCTATTTTATGCAAAATTATAACTATCCTTCAAGAAATACTAAGTCCTTGAACTTTTAAAATTAAAATTATTTAAAATATATGGGGAACCACTAAAATACTGCTGTAAATCCAAAAGGATCTTAGGCATTTTATAACTTCACATTTAAACAAATGATTCCCTATTGTTAATTATGACTCACTTCCGAACATGCTAAGTACAGATTTCACATTATGGGAATACAGATTTCTGGAGCTGACAGTTAATCCAGACCAACTATATTAACTGCCTTACACATCACAGATCACCAGACAGTGTTTAATTTATAACCCCTAGCATCATTTGTGAGGGCAGTCCATGGCTGGCTGGCATCTGGTTTGTTGCCAGCTACTCTTAGAAATCACTCACCCCAGATAGAATGGTCACAGGATACACACCAGAAATGCAAAGGTTGGCACTCATCCATGTGGCCTGGCAATTACACTCTGATTTCAGGTACCAATGTTGAAATATGACATTCTTTTACCTGTAAGACAAGAGTTTTAGAAAATATTTTTATTTCTGACTTAGGAAGTCAAATATCCCAACAAGTTTATTATCATAGATAAATAGCTACTCACTAGATACAGAACGTTCAAATTGAACACATCACATCTTTCTGAATTGTGTGGACAATTTTGAATAATTAATATGTTTTTAAAATTTTATGACAGAATGTAATAAAAATATTATTAATGAACCCTTTTTATATAGAGGTTGCAAACCCATAGCTTATGGGTCAAACCATGCCAGCAGATATATTAGGACCAAATGTATTTGGTGATTTTTAAAATTTGGATGAGACTGCAACCTTTAACAATCCAGAAAACCCTGTTGAGAAGAGGCCTGGTGGCCGCTCCTGTTCCCAGCCAGCTCTACTAGTTTACAACACAGGCCTGGCCCCTGTCTGCACTGACTAGTAATCTCTTGTCTACACAAACAGGGAAATCAAGCATACTCATTTTTCTACCTGTAAAGTCTTGAGTTTAATTTCTCCTAAGTAAAAGAAGGAAAATAAAACAACTTTTCTTTAGTAGAGCAAAACGTTAACAGTAAGATTATAAAACATTAAACGCCTCTCCAACCCCAAACCTCTAACAGCTTTTTGTTCTTACGCACAAGATAGAATCTAAATCCCTTGGTCTGACATTTCAAGGCTCTCCTCAGGCTAGACCCATTTCTTTTTGTCTAATGCAGTAAACTCTTTCACTTTCTAAACACCCTTCCTATTTTACTTTAACTCTACCTCGACATTCCTTTTGCAGCCACTTTATTCCATAAGTAGGCTTATCATCTGGTACCACCTTTGTATCAGATATATACCCTTGTTCTACAAGGGCCTACATTAGGACCAAGTTTCTTGAAGGAAGGAATCTGGCCAAAGATTTCATTTATCAAAGTACTCAGTACATAGTAGGCACAAAATATGTCACGTGTTGACAGAAAGATGATGAGCAAACAAAAAAATTATCCAAATCTAAAATAATTTAAAATTAGATAACAGCATCCTCTTCCTCTCAATCCCAGCCAGATCCACGCTGAAACGCCTGACAAAAATATAACCGGCAAAACAGTAAATGAAGAGCTGAGTTAGAAACACGTGAGGAAAACCCACGGTTGTGAGAAACAGAGAGGAAAGTCAAAGGGCGGAGAGCAGGAGCTGAAGCTAGTATGAGTCAGGGAACCAATTATGGGTCTTAGTGGTTGTAATAAGGGGATTTTCTAACACACATGCAGAGAGGTTATTTCAAGCCACGGGTCACATTTGGAAGAAACTTCATAAAGCCAAATTCAGGAAAAAATCACCCTATCTGTAAAGCCAGGAACGCGAAAACTTAGCTCACCGGCCAGGAAGCCAAAGTACACTTGACATCAACCTAGGCAGTGGCGGAAAGTCACCGGAGGGAAATCAGAACCCTGTTAGGCGTGTACCACGCAGAGTGTGGGCCTAAATTCACACCGTCTTCATGGCTGAGAATCCCTACACCATCCCTAAGCCAAAAGATCTAAAAAGAAAGAATGGTCCTGAACTGGTAGGGGCAGATGTGAATCTCTTTGCAGGGATGCTTCCACAACACGAGACTGACTAAACCCTTACTAAAGATGCATCACAGTACAAACTTGCAGACCGTAAAAGAAAATGAACCACAGGGACGGACAGTCAGCAGGCAGACACACTAAATGGAAGAACTTGCACCCTAAAAACAAGAAATAATAGAACACTCTGAACAAGACTTTTCCTGAAAAGACTAACAAAGCATGTATTAAAATAAATAAGGAGTTTCTGCAGCACATGCTCTAATGCTGACATATCATGAGTTGACAAATCAGATTCACCTCAGGACATACAACACCAAGTGCTGAAGTATAGGACAGGTTGTAAATGTGGGGAAAATAATTATCTAGAATATCACCTCTTTATTCAAACATTTCACCTACCACAAGTATAAATATGTCAAATTAAAAAATTTACAAATGCACAAATATCAAATCTTTAACACCAAAACCTGAAATGAAATAGCTCTTTCTTTTACCACATACACTTTATTTCAAAATAGGCCCCCAGGTAAATTAAGAAGTGTAATTTTCTAAAGAAGTTACTTGGCCCATCTCTTTCTTAAAAGAAAATTAATGAAACAAATTTAAACTGCAAAAATGAAATTTATGAAATAAAGAATAATGTACAAGTATCCAACTCAATTGACAGCTCAGCTAATTTGGAAGACTGTGGAGCTCAGCTAATTTGGAAGATTGTGGATGTTTTATTCCTGGAAATCTTCAAGGGAAGGACAGAAACCCATCTGCCAAGGTGGATGGATGGGTCTGACTGTATAATCTATGGACATCACCTCTCTCTCCACAGTCTATAAATTGCTGCAACCGAGCTCCTTTTACTTTCTTTATAAAACTGCATTTATCAGAAAGTAATAGTTTTATAAAACCAAAGAAACACCTGCAAAATAAGATATCATCATTCATGTGAACATTCACAATCATTCCTGGCAAAAAGGTTGAGACAAATTGTGAAAGACAAATTCTATTTGACCTACCAAGCCATGAACTTTACAACTGTTTCCCAGCTAGCTTTTACCATCATAGATTATGGGATAATATCAAAAACAGCAAGACTGTCGTGTGGGCAATATCATTTTTAAGCTGTTGTTAAAGTTAAGTAAAATTCTGCACTGAAGTAACATATGTACAAGTGAGTTATAACTTTATAACATATAAAGAAGTTTACATTTACACATGAAGTTTACATTTTCACATTTACATATGAAGAAGTTCAAACTTCTCAGCGAGAAATGTAAATGGATGCTTGATTTTTTCCAACTATGGATAACAATAATCTTTAGAGTTAATTTTTTGTAAGATAAAGCTAAAATGACAAAAAATTTTAAAAGAAGGAAAAGCAGTGTAAAAAAAAAAAGCACTGGAAATAAAGCACTGGAAAAGCAAATATATTTATTCTTTTTCCAGCCATACTATTTGGAAAAATGTAATGAAGTTAAAACCTGTTTTTGAAAACAAACACGGCATGGAAATAAAAAAAGGGAAATGTGTAAACCCATTGTTAATATCCTTCTTGATTCTAAACTCCTTTCCAGTCAACTAAGATGATACATCAAAGTATTTGGGGGGTTGGGGACGAACATATGGAGAAGAAAGGATAGCTCACTCTACTTTTCCCTGGGAAATGAAGCTGAAAAAGGGAAGAGAGCCGCAGTTTCAGGACTCATGTGGGCAGCAACGACCAATGCAGAAGTTTAAATTGTCCATGTACTATCTGGACTTTTGCCAAGGCATTGAGGCAATTTGTGATAACCAGTGAATATCCCAATGGGCACTGAACCAAATGCAAAAGATACAATAACTCCCCTTTAGGAGGAGAATGGAATTCAAAGACAAAATGATTTTTCCCACCTGGTGCAAATAAACAAATATTAGTCTGGTACACTAAATTTGTCCAAGAGGGTGACTATAAGATATACCTTTTGGGAGGTATATACATTTCTTTTCCAGTTCATTCAAAAAGCTACATTATACAAGGATCATTTTTACAGTGAAATGTCTGTAATATATTAAATGTGCTTTTCAAATAATTTTGACTATAATAAAACATTTGAGCAAAACAAAAAAAAGCTACATTAATTTTAAGGATTCTCACAATACATAAAAATATTATTTTCCGTTTAACAAAAAGTCTGAAATAGAGATAGGGTGATCTTTATTTTACAAGTTATTTTATCTAATCAATTGTCAACAATGATTACAAAGTAAGAAATTCCCCACAACTCACTGAAATTTTATACTAGCACAATCAAGGAATACAAAACAACAGCCATTTTAACCTGCATCAGGAGACTTTCATACACCTTGGGAAACAACTTGCTTTATGCGACATGATATCATTTTAATACAAGTTTATTTTCAACCACATCTTTCATATTATAAAATGCTTAACGAAGTTAAACAATACAATTGCAGAGAAACCAATAACAGTGGAAAAGAGAAATTAAGAGGTATAGACAAGGGAGAACATATGTTTACTACTGAGATTTGAAGTGAGATGGGGAGTCGATGAGGCGGAGAGAAGCAGGATGGCAGGAACTGCAGAGAAGATGGCAGAGGAAAGTGGAGGAAGGAAAAGGGCTTTTCAGGAAATCAACGAAAGGAGGCAGTTGGGATGAACTCGAAAGCCTAGGTTCATGGTGTGATGGAATAACCTGGAAAACAAGTTTAAAACTCCAAAGAGGATTCTCAACTTATATTAAAGTCAAAAGATATGGGAAAGATAAAAAGGCCAGGCAAAAAGGCAGAGCTCTACACTGAAGGCAAGTCATAACACAATACTTACTTGTAAAATAACACAATACTTACTTGTAAAATAGCCCACAAAGATGTGTCAATGAAGTGACAGAAAAAAACGAGGGTTTCGGCAGCCTTGCAGGATGTTAACAAAATGTCACAGAAGGCGTAATGTGGTAACAGATCAAGAAAAAATGGCTGAACTTTAAATGCTGTCATTTCTGAATCCTGATGAAACTGATCAAGAGACACTGCTTTAAGGAAAGGACTTTTCTGGTTGAGTCTAGACATCAAGACACGAGGGAATGGAGGAAAATATCAATCAAGAAAAGAATGGAATTACACTTGAACTTGGTGCAGCAGCGGACATAACCAGCCCCCTTCCCTGGCCTGCCTCCTGTAGGCTTCTACGCCACCACATGCTCTCCTATCTCCTCCCACCCCTCTGGTAACTTCTCAGTCTCCTCTCTGGGCCTTCTCCCTCCTCATTCTTCTAAAATATACAGAGGTCCCATTAAAGGAAGGCTGTCTTCTTGATAACATGATACATGAGAACCTCCCACCTACCTTGGACCAGTCTTCTCCCTGTCCCTTCCACTTCTACACACCCCACCCTTCCTGCAGACCCACCAGAACCTCTACCACGGCCTCAGCTGCACTTGTGCTTTCACACCTCAG